TGTATTTTTATGAGAAGCTGTTTTTCATGGCAGAAATACACTCGGAGGTTTGCCATTGCCTGCCGAGGGACGACCGCTGTTAAGAAAAAATCTTTTTTCTATATATTTTGCGATGTTGCTTTGACCAGGGCTTGAATCCAGGTGCTGTGGAGTGGAAGCGCGCACTGCTTACCACTACACCACAGCGGCCGAAAGAAGAATACTCCTTGAAAAAGACATTCAAGTACCTATATTATTTAAAATTAAGTTCAAAGCCATGCGAATTTCATTTAGTGATAAGTCGAGATGGGTGGGTTCGGAACCTAAAAATTGAAGTTCGGTATGGGCGGGGCCGGAAGCGAATAATTAGTCCCGCGCTCATCTCTAATATAAATCTTGAAATGCGCTTAGCCCTTGTTGAGGTCTGACAGACCACAAGGTATTGTATATGTACGTTGGACTACCTAAACAAAGTCATTGGATACATCAAAAATATATAAATCCTTAGTTCGTAGGGCTTCTTCACAATCGTTGTCGTCAGACTCAACAAGCAGGCAATCCTTGAACTGTGCCACTCCCACTGGGCTAGTCTACAGGAACAGGGGTGTTTAGGGGGCATGGGAAAAGTTGTTGTTAGTCATGAGGTGACTCTCTGCAAGCCGGGCAGCCATTGGTACATATGCATTTATCATACCCAGGTAGCCAGAGCGATTGGGCTATGGTGGTGCGAGTCTCTCGAAGCAGATGAAGCTGTGCCTCGTCCGAGTTAGGTGGCTGTATTCCCAAAACGATATTCACCGGTCGGGCGTTGTGGAAAATAAGGCTATAGCGACTCCCTGTGAATGGCGTTTATGACCTGTCGGTACGCTGTCAGGTGCAGAGGTTGTTTAATGAACCTCTGGACTTCGTCCGTTAGTTCGTATAGGTGCCTTTTGACGTGCCTAGGAGAGGGCTCTGCGGCAAGCAGGGGTCTTTTTAGGTTCACTCGTCTGTGGCACCCTACTAAGAACTGCATACTATGCATAATGTTGTGCTCCCTGATCGAAAGCATTTCAGAGCGCATCCGGTAACGGTCGGGACTGCAGTGTTTTTACATATGTAACTATGTCATAGGACAACCGGCCGATTTGAGGTAGACGGGGCATATTCACACAAATTATCTTGGATTTCTACTGAAGTAGTTGGAGAGTTAATGGCAAGAAAAAGTCCATATTAGGTATGATATTCGGTTTCTTTAGCTTGTTCAGATAGACCACAACTTGGAAAAGTGCACACACATATATGTTTGTCAAAAAAGCTGCTTTTTTACTCCGAAACAAAGCCAACACTATCGTCCTATACTGTAACAGTATCCCTCCTCATAAATCTTAATAAAGTTATGAAGCAGTTTGCCGAAAAATGTTGAGGAACCCAAAAATTGTTAGCGAAATTTTTTAAAATCTCTATTCAAAACAATGGATAGAAAACTCACTGCGGAGTCCCACCGCGGCTCGACACCAACAAAGCATTGAAATCCTTGTTAACTCCTAAACGAAGAAACGTATGAAGAGCATGGAGTCTAAATCCCAAAATTATCTACTGTATACTATTAAAAAACCGTATGTATAGTGCTTGCCATACTTTACGACACTCACATACATATTGATAATATTTGACTATTTAATTTATTATTTTTTAATTTTAATTATTGGTTTTTAAAGATTATACTTTACTTATTAACAAAAAATAAGCTATGCTTCTATAAGAAAAATTATCAATATCAAAAAGTATTAAAACAAATAGTCTAATTTTGTGTATATATGTAAGTATAGTATAGTTATGATAAGCACTATATGTATATTTAAACTGCGTCTATTCCACACATCCTTTTATTTCGAGAAGTTTTTTAACGGTTGACAATATAGATTTATATTGTTAATATGGCATCGATATTAGACGCAGACAAAAATATATGTACATACATACATACCTACGTACATATTAACATGTGTATGTCATTTTAATGTCGTCCCAGCCAAGGCTGTAGTTAGCTGAAGGAAATTTGTTCCCAATTCGGAAAAGTTAAAGAACATCAAAAGGTATCTGTCATCATTTTTCATGTGATATGTATTTCTGAAAATTATAAAGCTTACACATAAATATCGCCTGAATTTGCATACATATTAAGTATTCTCTTTGAAAAATGTTTATTTACGCAAACTTTTCATCTACCTATAATAAATGAAATTTACAAGCAAGTAAACAAACGCACAGGTGCATGTCAAAGCATATACATACATATAGGCTTCAATATTTGATATTTTTCATTGTACATAGTACATACATACATACAATGTTCACTTCAAGAGTTCTTACGCCCAGAAGCATGCTTGTGTTCTTTATATTTATAACCTGTGCGGAAACATTAAAGTTATCGATTACAAAAGAGAACTTCACATTCTATACATCTATGCTTGCACACCATTAACTTGTACATTTTATTAATGTACGTACTAAGTTCAGGGGCGGATCCAGCGGGGGGAGGGGGGGGTTTTGGGGGTTAAACTACGTGTCAGTCAGTGACGGACCTACGGGAGGTGTTTTAATATGGCGCATATGTATGTTTAATATGGCGTTTATGCATTAAAATACCCCCCGTGGGTCCGCCACTGACTGACACGTAGTTTAACCCCCAAAACCCTCCCGCTGGATCCGCCACTGACTAAGTTCATACATACCCCGCAGTGAAAAACTAAACTAGTTTGCACAAATTCCAGTTCATGAACTATAATTTAAGGATAGAACTCATACCAGTTCGTTATGAACACTAAGTATACCAGATCCTCGTAGAAAAGGTAAACTAGTTGGCAGAAAATCTAGTAAGAAAACAGGTATTCAAAAAGAAAGTCATTCCAGTTCATGGACTATAATTATACCAGTTCTCCGCAGTTAGATGCCAAATCGGCCAGTAAAAATACTAGTTCATTAACTAGTATGTGCTAAAGCGACGGCTTACCATTTCGAAGATTTCAAATAATGGCCAGCGCCATCTGTGTTTGAATTGTCGAAACCAAAACTAAAATGCAGTTAATTGCTTTACTCTCAATTGCCGAGTGAAGACTACCGGTTCTGGTGCTGAGATCTCAGGTTCGAGTCCGTGTGGAGGTGATTAAAGTAAAGTACATAAGTCAATTATTTCAACAAATTTAATATAGGAATTTATAATTTTAAATTTAATTTCATTAGGAAAAAATCTAACTATGTACTCAAATACCATAAAAAAATAAATAAATACATTAAAAAATATAAATAAAAAATCCTCTGTCTGAGATTCGAACCCTGAATCTTTGGAATGGCGCGCCAGAGCTTTGTCGCGAGCAAAATGGCATACTTGTGCTTTTCACGGGGGGATGAATTGGCAGTCTATCCCGTGAACTGGTATGATGGTACTAGTAAGTAGTAGAGAATTTCCAATAATTCCAACATGGGGTGATCGACAAGGTGTTTTTCTTAAGTTTTGCTTTTTTCATTTCGTTTGATTCTACGCTTTAAACGCTAGTGTTACATATATGTAACGTTCGAATTTCGTGGACTGATATTGTTGTTATTAAAATTTGTATTACATAACAAAGATTCACGAGTGTTACATATATGTTTCAGGTCGTACAGACAACCCTTTATAGAGGTCGAAACTTTTTATTATGGGTTTTTGAACATATCCTCTCTTTTAGTGTGCTCCAAAATTTGGTTCCTCTCAATTTCCTCTTTTGCTTTCGCGTTTAATGAGTTAATAGGTGGTATTACCCCCTTCGAGTTGGCATCTCCGTTTTCCAATCGGCATAAACTGCAGTTAAGGCTTGTTGGAAATCAACTATAACGCTTTGGTAGGAATATAAGTTTTATGAATTTGAGTTTTCGCCACTTTGTAGGGAAAAGTTGGCGCTGAAGCTATCTAAAGTATTGCATGTCATCTCTATTCATATTCAGTTGAAGGATGCACTGCGACCAGAAGATCTATTGTGCCTCATGAGAAAAAATCTAATATAAAAACGTTTCTGAAATTTTTCGGTAAATTACGAAAGGTTACAGAAAAATACGATATAGATTACAAACAAATTATAAAAAAGCATATATTACGTAGAACACACAAAACTTCCCACAATATGCAGAAAAATCCCGAAAAACATCAAGAAAGGTCCCTTAAAATCCTAAAATCAGTCCAGAAATTTCTTGAAGCTCTAAACCTGTCCGTCTGTCTGTATACACGATAACTGGAGCAATAATATTATCGAAAATGGTTGAAATCATTTATTATACAAAGATAGTATACAGAATGGTGAAAGGATATTTATAATATTCGATTTCGGCTAAAATTATGCCTCTATACTAGTTTTTCATACATTCGGTTAAAATTTTCATCTTTCAGTTTGTAGCAGGGACCGAAAAAACCCCGTTGAATATCAAGATTTTTACTTTTACATCATTGCTTCATGAAAAATGAAATCTGAAAATAAACACCAAAACCAAGGATCAAAAATCAATCGAAAAAAATCGAAAATTAACGATCGAATAAAAATAGAACTTATAAAATAACGGCTAAATTTGGCCGTAAAACCTTTTTTATTTTTTAGGCATTCATAAAAAGCGAAGCTATTATTTTAAACTTCCTCAAATTTCTCGAAAAATCCCGAAAGGTTGTAGGAAAAGCTCTTAAAAAATATATCACCTGGAATACCAAAAATTCCCGTTGTACAAAAGTCCCAAAAAATATCAGTGTAGAAATATACAGGAATTCTAAAAGATATCGAAAAATAATAANAAATTTACGAAAGCCAAACAAATAATCCAGAAAACCCCGAATAAAAATTTCTAAAAGTTCCAAAAAAATTCCGAAAACTTCTGGACAATGTTCAACATAATAAAATTCAGGTTTTTTATGTTAAAGACAAAATGATATTCCGGGTATGATTTTACCTATTGCAATAACTGCAAAACTAATTTTTTGATTTTTTTTTATAAATTTTTAGTTTTAAACAAATTTTTATGGTCGCTAACAGGGTTTAAAAAAATTAAATTATTTATAAATCGCAAAAATTCTAAAAATTATGACTTGAAATCTGGTCAATTTCACATATTTCTAAAACTTGTTCATATAAATTCACAAACTCGCTGAGTTGTAAATGGTCAACGAAACTTTCTTAAAACGAGCGTACCTAAACTTAATTTCTTTTTTTTATTATTAAATTTTCGTAAATATATTTATTTTGTACTTAGAATAAAATAAAGGGGGTACCCCGCGATACTGATATATTAAGGTCGTATATATATAGATATATATGTATTTATTTCTGATTGATTACAAGTAAAAGCTCTTAAGGCAACATTATATTACGCAATAATCTTACATTCATTTTTAAATTTGACAAAATAATACTTAAAAAATTTTATAAACTTCAACAAAAATCGAATGTAACAAATGAATGGGTAGCTATCATTGTTTTATATCCGACACCATCGATGTGTTCTGATTCTAATACCTGAATTTAATATTCTGATTACATAGCCTGAAGACCTTAATACCGCCCCGCCAATAGCAGGCTTTGCCTGTACAAAACTCGCGATTCTCGGGAAAGAAGTTAATTTTTTATCGCTTATTTATGTTAACCTCACCAATTGTTTGTATTAATTTGCCGTTAGAGAGCAAAAAAATGTGTAACAGAAATGTTGAAGAATTAAAAGCTATAATGTAACAGTAATCGAAACTTAAGCTCTTCTCAAAGCTATTACAAACTTGCATACTAATTTTTGTTTTTATCTGCTCTCTCTCCCCCCTCTATTGTCAATACTAAAACAACAGTGCATTGGCAATAATAATGGTAAGCACAACTACAACAACAACAATTGCTGCTGGACAACCAACGAGTAGCTCAAATCATCATCCACATCAACAGCAACAAGCAGCGGCGGCGACACTAGGCTCGACCGCAACCGCAGCTGCAACCGCAAACAATTCCAATTACCAGAGATCAGCATCCGAGCAGCAACAGCAACAACAACATCAGCACACACAATCGTATCACCATCCATCATCGTCAACATCGTCGTCGACAACGACACATAACAGCTATTATAACTCATTAGCATTAAATGGTGTTGGTAGTAATAATAACAATAACAACAGCACCAGCAGAAGCAATAGCAACGTCAAAAACAGAGTTGCCGCTAAAACCGTTTCACTAAGTGGTCTCACCACCGCAACGGGGCAAGCGAGTGATGCTGACGTTGGCGTAGACTACCACCATTCATCTCATTACTCGTCGCGACCTTCGTCATTGTACAACGGTAGTGGCAATATTGCTGGCGACGACCAGACTAGCAACAGCAGTTCTCCCTCAACAACCAGAACGCCTGCGGTGGAGGAGGAAACCGCAAACGTTGAGGAGGAACAGCCACAGAGCCATGAATCGACAGCAGTCACAAAGTCGCCAACAACAGCAACAACAACTGTAAATTTATCGCAAGGTCTTCTTTCCACCTCACCGCCGCTGCTGAACGATCAAATATCGCTATTATTTCCAAAGTGTCGACCACGTCAACTGTCACCAAATAGCAACGCCGCAACCAGTCGCAGCGACAACATTCAGAGCAAAAGTCATAGTAGCTGTGATAGCGAAGCCTTAAACGCCACGCGCGCACTATCGAAGAACGAAGAGTACACACCCAGCACGCCAGTTGGTAGTCATAAAAAACGCTTGAACCCGAAATTTGAACGAGACGTGTGCGACAACGAGTCCACAGAGAACATCAGGGTAGAAACAGCAGCAGCAGCAACAGCACCAACACCAACACCACTGCCGTCAGTGCCGGTGCCAGTGGCGGCGACCACGACAACCAACTACTACAAAAGCGTCAATATTATCACACAATCACCACCACCGCCCTCAACGTCTTCGGTGTCATCCGAGTCGCTGTCGTCGGTGACCCCACGTATTTCGACAAATCCGTTTCTTAGTCATACAGGCAGCGTGGAGAGAAAACCACTTGAGCGCGCAGCTCGCCATCAACACAGAAACAGCGAGGAAGAGAAACAAGCATTGAGCACACGTCGTACGCGCAACGATAAAGGCGGCGGCGATCTCTATAACGAACACGGCATCTGCAGCGACGAAATCGAGGTCGAAAATATTAACGATAACGGTATCGCTGAAGACGAAGACGAAGAGCTACCCGTGCCCTCGTATCCGCCTACATTCTACTACCACACCGAAACGAAACATTCGCAGTCACAAGCGCGGCAGCGCCAACATCAAACCGGCGACAGCAGCAACAGTTACGAAATGCCACGTAAGCGCGCCAGTTATGGCACGCACCACCACCCCATCCAGCAGCCGTACACGCATTTTACGAGCTCAGCGGCGCAACAGCAGCAGCCGCAGCATCAGCCAGTCCAACTGTTACAACAACACAAGCAAGCCAACCATGGCGCGAACGTAACAACGGGCAGCTTTAATCAGAATCCATTTATAAGAGATGGCAACTACTGGGATACAGTGCGTCATAATTCCACAAATGAAGCAGCAGCAACGGCGGCGCATGTCACCAATGATACTGAACATGCGACTTCACCGCCCAGCTACGATGACATAGGCGATGCGGAGTCCCACAACATAACAACTTCTGTCAGCACTCAATCAACCACATTCGGTTCCACGTCCACGACAACAAAACCAGTTGATATCGCAGCAACCAAAATGACCGCGCGACGGTCGCATTACCAGCAACAGCCTTACACAAATAGTGTTCCTCCCCGGCAACACCATCCTCCGGCAGCGCAGCGCACACAGTCACAATCACAACACATCAGCCGTCTTGCTCGCGCCATAACGGAACCCGACGCCGCTGGTGGGCAATATGCTGAAATGGGTACAAAACACGGTCATAACTTTAAGCAACAGCTAATGCAGCAGCAGCAACAGCAACAGCAACAAAGTGGTCTGCAGGCCGTACAAAATTCATGCGCTGAAGGTCTCACACCGATCGCTAGTCATTATTTGTATGGGAGCAAAACGTCGTTGGACCTGCAACCGCAACAGCAGCAACATGTCATTAGTGTCAGCGATAATAGTATACTTGTCGAGCGCGAGATAAGGGAGCGCGATAGAGAACAACGAGAACAACGGAAGGCGGCAGCAGCTTATGTGGGTGATTGGGAAAGGGAAAGAGAACGCGAACACGAACGGGACCGGGAACGTGGTCGCGAGCGAGAATGGCAGCTAGAGTGTGAGCGAGAAAATGAAAGAGAAATGCAACGAGAACGAGAAAAAGAAAAGGAAAGGGCAAACGGGCGGGAACGTGAACGTGATTTTGAAAGAGAACAAGGCCGTTGCATTGATGTCGATGCGGGTGAACCGCAACAGTACCAGCCTGTGAAACACCGGAACTCCAGGAAGCACAGCAACGTCGCCAATACAAACGGACATTCTGTGGCTAATAATGGGGAAGTGGTGGTATTCGACGATATCGCCGAAAGTTGGCAAAGTGAGTAAAAAACATTTATAACTTTTTTTCCTTCTACAAGATACAAGACCTTATTTATTAATGACTAAAGCTTTCGAAAATTACTCGCTTTGATCTGTTTTATTGGAATTTTTTTATTTTATTTTTTTTTTTTTAGTAATAACTACCTGTTGATTTCAGGCCAAGACTTCTTTCCTTTGCAAAGTTCTGTCAGTTATTCATACCAAGTGTTGATATGTAGATCCTCTTGCACAAGGCACTTCCTAAGAGTTCGTGGCCGCCCTAGTTTTTTGTCCACCCATGTAGTTGGACATGCGGTGCAATGAGAAGCATTCACTGAATACCCTACGTGTTCAGTAAGAGATATGGACATGGGAAGACTTTGACCGAGGGTTATTCACATCGACACACCGACCATAATGCGTCGGTCATACCATAAGTGGGCGCTATCTCAAGAATTCATGTAACCTTCTTAGCGATTTTGTGAAACCCTTCTTTTGTTGCCTATTCGAGGTTAGTAAGCAACGCCTCCCGAAGCAGTTGAGACGCAAATTTGTCTTCACTGGAGAACCGCACAATATGTGCTCCACCGTTTCTTGTTCCATTACGCATTTCCTACAGTTATCACTACTCACCAAACCCATTTTTACGGCGTTCTTAGCTAACAAATTGTGACCAGTTGTGAGACCCACCATAAGTGTATAGTCGTTGTGTGGTAGTTACAGCTTTGCAAAGATGTGAACTGATGTGAGTAATAAGAAGAGCTGTACAAGTGTATACAAGCCATATATGATATCCTGGTACACTGATGGCTCATTTACTGAAGATGGTACCGGGGTAGCTGTAGTTGGACCGAGCCTAAGATACTTGAAACCCATGGAAAACCATACGTCAATTTTCCAGGCTGAAACATATGCCATAGAAAGATACGCTGACTTTAAGCGAAACTACCGGAATCAGAACATCGCGATCTTAACTGACAGCCAAGCGGCTATCAAAGCCCTCATATCTCATAAGGTAACATGTAAACTGATGATGGAGTGCTGAGCACTGTTGGTCTGTCCAATCGAGTTTGGATTCTCTACATTCCGAGACATTGCATAAAACCCAGATTGCTGGTAAACTTGCGAAAAAGGGAGCAGCAATCCCCTTCATCGGCCCAGAATCCTTCTGTGACCTGACCCGATTAGAGACAGAGACTAAAAGAAATCGCTGCTAAGATAGTCTACCAGATCTAGAGCAATGCAAAGCACTTTTAGAAACATATAACGTAAAACGCTTTATAGAATTTATGAGCTGAACTATCACTAACTAAACAGGGAATTTAGTCGCAGGAGCGAAGAAGACTTTGCAGGACGGACCACACAGTTCATCTTAGAAGGATTTCCTTGACTAATGCACAAACGTATAAGACTCCTGGGTGAATATTTAATAACCGAGGCCAAAGTGGAATCCGTGGATTTAGGCTCCATACTAAGGCCTCTTTCAGATACTGGGTTAATAGACACACTATAAATCGATGAAAGAATACAACTGATCTTGAGGTCGCAGTGCTTTATGTCCAATAATAATAATAATAATAATGATTTCCAGAAAAATTAGTCTTCAAAAGAACTCAAAGAGTCTCACCCCTTGTATCCGTAAAATAACCTTTGGCATCTTGAGTGAATCCAGCTGTTGGATTTTTTTAATGACTTTTACCAGCCTTGTCGTTTGACTCAAGGTATCAATACAACTGCAGAATTCTTTGAGTGAAGCCCTTTTCGAAGAACTTATTAGGTATTTGATTCAAAATTAACCTCCCATTCTTATAGAAAAAGAGTCAAAATAGGTAAATAATTTTGTTCTATTTACGAATATTTATGTAACTGTGATATCAAAATTTTTCGAATGCAATATCAGTAAATTTTGACAAATCGCAGATTTCCGTTTCCATTTTGCTTGCGTTTACAGCAACAAATGACCTAAAATATAACTAAACATTTTCTTAACATTTTTTTCTATATACAGATTTGAGAGTAACAACCGACACAAGCGCCCCAACAATACCAACAGCTATGACTCGACACCAGCTACAGCAGCAGCAGCAACAAAAGCACCACAGACAACCCGCATCCTTGACACTGGTTGACGACGACAAAGATGAATACGCTGAACAAGTCGTCAACAACCACGGCGATGTGGAGGTGACAGGAAGTCACAACACTAGCAACAATGGCACGTCAATAATGTACAAGGATCATCCAAAGAGATACTTGGATCGAAGTGGCTACACAATGCACGCAGTGGAAACGCGACACGGCATAATAGGTACGTGCATCCCTTTGGGACCAAGCACACAATCTTTACTAGTATTTATTATGCGCTTAGCTACATTGATGCCAGCAGCTATCACCACTAACACTATTTCCTTATTTTTGTATATTTCGCGCGCACAGAGTACGAGGGTTCACCACGCCGCATTGGCGGACAGACAAGTGGCGTTGCGCCCACTGCTGATGATGATAAGCAGGCCGAGGATGCGGTAGCAGCGGCAGTGGCAGATGCAGATGCAGAAGAGATAGCAGAAGATGTAGATGTGGGACTGTCAATGCAGCCGAATTCGGTGCACGTACAGCAAAAGCGCTTGACAAAGACCACTGCAGCGGCAACAAGCTCCAACAATGGCGCTGGTGGCAACAGCCAACATACGACTACAACAACAACAACAACCACGCACAATTCACCACAGCAACAATATCCGGCGCGTCCCGGCTTTCCGCAGGTAAATGAACGCTTCATGAGCTCTCTTCTGAATTTTATATTACCCTCTCATGGCCGATTTTCCATTTGCAGCGCATTATTTCACCGCCACGCGAGAGTACTCCACCAATTATGCTGCTAAGTCATAATAATTCTAAACACCAACAACAGCAGCTGCCGGATTATCAATACCAGCAGCAACCACAAGCGTTACAACAGCGGCAATCGTCGCCACCAACAGCTTGCACTTTGGACAATAACGCCGAGGATACGAGCAATGATGTCTCTGAGATTGGCACAATATCCGATTTGACCACACCGGAAGCTATATCTGCAACGGGTGTGCCAACAACGTTCACCTGCGCCACCGATTCACCGGCGCTTAATGTGGCGAATTCCGCAGCCATGCCGCCACCAAGTACAAGCGCAATGGCGGCGTGCAAGCCTGTGACGACAATTAGCAGCAGCGCCTTTAGCATACCAACAAAGTCTTCGACGTTCGACTACCTCTATGAATTCTCCGAGACGCGCAAAGTGCTCGAAGAGTTCTTCAAGTGTCCCTCGATAGACGATCGACCGATTGAGAATGGAAGCGACGTTGATAGTATCGTAAGTTGAAAATGTTTTTCGCCTTCTTGTAAATGTACTAGGAACATATTTATGTATATATTAGGGCGGTCCTTAAAAATGTCAAAATCTAAATTTTGTATGGCACACCTCCTTGTTCAACTTAAATCCCACTCTATTTTCATTTACAGGACATCCAATACGAATTCCATAGCAATTTGGATCGCGGTGACGATGATGAGTTAGACTCGCACTCAAATTTAAATGTAGACGCCGAAGACGAAGACGATGAAGAAGAAGAGGATGACGACGACGATGATGATGGACTAATGGGTGTGGATATGGATGACATACATCCACAGCAAAACCATCACCACCATCACCAGCTACAGCAACAACATAACAACCAAATGCGACAGCTGCAAACAACATTGCAACAACGCAACAATCCGCGGGATACGCAGTCACATTTGCAAACATCACCAACACCAACAGCGACATATCGTCTTCAGGCGCAACAGCAACAGCAACAACAACAACAACAACAGGAAAAACAACATATAAAATACCTGCAACAGCAACCATTACAACAATCACAAACCCAACAAGAAGAAACGCAGAGAACAGCAACAACAACAACAACTACTACTACTAATCAGCGCGCACGTCTTCATCATCGGCAGCAACAACAAACTACCAACAACAGCAACATCACCAGCAGCAATAACAGCATCAGCAATAGCAATAGCAATGTTTACAATAATTCGGTGCATGCACATCGGCGACGCTTTACCGCCAGTCCATTGATGCGTGACTTTGATTTCTTCCTGGACTCGGCTAGTCGTAGTAGCGGCGAGCAATTGGATCAACAAGATGGTGTCAATCACAATCAGTTAGATACACCGAGCACTTACCGTTATTCACCCGAGACAACAGACTACGATTCGAATTGTGGAGATTTGGATAGTAAGTATTCTGTGTTTGTTAATATTTGTCGAAAGAGTACCCACATACAATATTCAAATACATACAAATTATTCATTAGCGTTACCACCTTATAAAAATTAAATTTGTTGGAAATGTATATACATATGTACATAGGTTCGTGCAATGTTACAAAACAAGTGAATATTTACATTTAAAAAAGGCATTGCCACCTTTTTCAAAACGATAATTAACTAAATAACTAAGTTTAATTAAATATTAAACTTTTGTGTTTGAAGCCAATGGATGTTGGGAAAGTTTAAGTAACCAAAAGCTTATTGAAAATAGAGTTGCCACGTGCATATCAAACAAATTTAAGAAATTTACTCTTAATTGATTAAAAGTTTCTATGTGTTTCTCAAGCAAAGAAGCATTTATTACAGAAAGTTTTCAAATGGGGTTGCCATATGTCTGAAAATAAAATGAATTAAATATTTAAATTTGTTTTTAAATATTTAAAAAAAAAACAGCGTAGACATCGAGATAAGGAATTTTGAGGAAACTTTATTATAAGTATGATTTCATAGAGGGTTGCCAGCTTTCTAAAAATAAAAATTTGGACAGCAACTATTCTGTGTTTGTGTATATGTATATAAAGAAGTTCGCTTTGACACTAAACTATTTTTAAGCAAGGTTACCGTCTGAAAAAAAAAATCAATTAATCACAAGTGAAATCTAAATAAATTATTAAAGTGCGCCTATAGATAAATAAAAACGTAACAAAGGATATGTGTTTAAAGACACTTGCATTCTTAAGGATTTTCGAATAGAGTTGCCTCTTTTTAGAAACGAAAGTTATTGAAATACATATGTATGTTAGCTAAATACAATATTAACCTTTTGTATTTTAAATCAATGACTCTTAATTAGTTTAAAGTTTCAAGGTGTTTGTCAATGAAAATAAAATTAATTACATACATTTACAAATTTTTAGACATTTCAAAAGAAAAGCGTAGACATAGAAGCTAGCAATTTTAAGGAAACTTTAACATAAGCATGATTTCAGAGGGGGTTGCCAGCTCTCTAAAAATATTAATTTTAAATATTTCACATCAAAATGTTTAGACTTACAATATTCATTTAAAAAAGGGTGCCAACTATCCGAAAAAAAAAACAATTAGATATGCCAATTAAATGTGTACAAACAAATATCAAACTAAAGGGATTGCGTAGACTTTCAGCGCAATTCTGATTTAGTCTTTTGTAAGACAATTAGATAACAGTAGGCAAGATATTTTGAAAGATTTTGCTTATTCTGGTACCAGCATACAAATTCCCCTAATAGTTTTTCGGGAGTGTTGCTGGAGTGACAATCCTTGGCCAAATATACATAAATCGAGGTCGTTCCGGTTACGTAGAACCGACTGTCGTGGGAACGACTCGTTCGTCTTAATTCTCTATTAATTTCTAAAATTGATTGTTTGAAAAATAAAAAATTTGTATTTAACTAAAGTTTTAGTTAGTTTGTTTTTTAAATTGCTTTTCTTTAAATTTTTTAACTTTATTGTCTTACAAAGATTTCTTTTTTTAATTTCATTTAATTTTTGTATATTACTTTATTATGTAATTTTTTTATTATTATTAGTTTGTATTGGTTTGGAAAGAAATATATGTATTTTTTTAATTTCGTTTAATTTAAAGAAACTTATTTTTTGCTTTTTTATTAAATTTTTTAACTTTATTTATTTATTTGATTAGTTTAATTTAATATTTATATATTTATTTATATTTTATTTCATTTTCTTAAAAATTTGATTGTCCTACGATGAATATATTTTTTTTAATTTCGTCTAATTACGATATTATTCTATTTATATTTTCCTTTTTTTATATATTTTTTTCTTTACTTTATGTTTTCTAATTTTTTTAACTAAATTTTCTTTTGATTTGGCTCAAAAAAATTTTCTTAATAATTATGGCAAAAATGATACAACTGTGAACGAAATAGTAAAAATCATTATCTTAATCTTCATGAAAAAAAAAAATTGTTGTTTCGAAAAAAAAAATCAAGTTCCATATAAAATTTGGTATTTCATTGTGCCCAAAGTAATGGGCGTAGCAACTTAAAATTTTGCGCAGATGCTGAAGTCCAAAGGTCACTGAAAAAATGCAGAGGATCTTTCAATTATTTAGTCTTTCGAAAGACAGAAAAGAGCATTCAAGGTAGTTGCCAGTATTTACAAATGTCTTACAAAAGACTTTTGTCTTTCAAAATCTAAGACATAAACCTTTCCGATCACCCCATGTTAAAATACTTGTAGATCCTCAAAACCGTAAACGACCCTTTGTCAACTCAACTCAAAAAAATAAACCTCCCTTTACTTCTCCAAACAGGTCTCTCTGGTGAAATAAACGGTGTCTCAACATCATGTTCGAACTACACAAAGTACTATGCCTCCAGCATGCCTGTACTTGAGGATGGTCTCTCCTCCGGACACACCTCCGACACGGAGAACAACAACCAAAATAATCTGAATAGCAACATGCAACAGCCGAGCGCCGCGACATCCCACAATCTCGTCGGTAGTGGTGGCATTTCGATGTTGATGGACACGAAACGCTTGTCCACCAACAACAGCATCAATAGCATGAACAATCTGACGATCTCAACGGCCGATGGTGGTGTAGGTGGTGTTGGCGGGGAGCCAAGAAACAACTCGATATCGTCAAATATTATTCATGATACAATGTACTTACATAGAAACGATAGTCCCACGCCAACAGCTGGTTTGCACGAAGATTCTGGGCGTGAATCGGTGCGTTCGGCCACGAAGCGTGATGGACGCGTTGGTGAACGCGAGCTGCTGGGACAGAGTCCAACAAATAACAGCAACAAAAAAGTATTCAAGAATATTGATCCCGAACTGGATTCGCTTTACTCGATAAGTATGTCTTATAACTATACATTTTATGTAATTTAATTCTTTGCAAATAAGCATCTCACTTCAACATCACGTTGCAGGCATTTTCCATCGCCCCGATATGGTGCAGATGACGCCACCACCGCCTGCACCAGCCCCGCATCGCAAGCCGAATATACTAAGCCCTGAACCGGAGATCTTGCAACCCACACCCTACAAGGACAACCTACACTCTGCACCACCACCACCCAGCGCCACATCGCCCATCAGTAGTGCACTCGTTCCAACAGTCGGTATCAACTCCAACAGTGGTGTCACATCTGTGGCTTCGGCTATCAGCTCAACGCTGAATCGCAGCAAATTACACACACAGCATCAGAGTGGCGTTGGCCTCAGCACCGCACAACGCACCAACCAATCGCACGCTCAGTCACAGCCGCCACCGCAGCCACAGTCAACCCAGTCATTGCCAGCAACGCAGACCCACTCGCAATTGCAGCCACCACCGCCTCCAATACCCGAGCGCAGCATACCGCGCACACCTTCGCCTGTGATGAATTCGCCTGTTTGGCTGCCCCGTAATCTGGATAATAGCGCCATAAAAAGTCTACTCGCTTCCTCGCCTGGACATCACTCGAAGAATCTGAGCGCAGACGAAGATGATGTCGACACTGATCTCGAAACAGATCGACTGCTCGGCCATCAACGGCTAGACGATCAGGGTTACTATGATGATAACAAATCGTGGGAGTCACGTAAGCCGCGCGCCTCGATACTTTCGAAAATCTCGCCCAAGCAGCAAATGGCGAGCACTAAAACACGCAATGGCTATAATGCTTTGCTCACGACCACACCCGAAATCCCACCGCCGATACCACCGAAGAACTCGACTAGCAAACTGCTCGACATTGACGGTTCCATATCATCATCCGAGCACAGCGACAAGTCGCCAATCAAGTCGATCGATGCACAAGACTGCGTAGTCACAATGGGCAGCCCGGGTGGCTCGGATGGCTCCGCTTGCATCAGCGGTAACTCGAAGAAAGATCTCGATCTCTCGACGATCAACTCAAACGGTCTGCCGAATAGCGGCGGCAGNACACAAGACTGCGTAGTCACAATGGGCAGCCCGGGTGGCTCGGATGGCTCCGCTTGCATCAGCGGTAACTCGAAGAAAGAGCTCGATCTCTCGACGATCAACTCAAACGGTCTGCCGAATAGCGGCGGCAGCAATAGTGGCAGTGGCAGCGGTAACTGTAGTGGAGGTGGTAGTGGTGGTGTTGGCCTTGTTGGCACTGGCAATGCGAATGGCAGTGTTGGTGGCAGCGGTAGCGGTGGTAGTGGCAATGGCAACGGTGTTGGTGGTGGCGGTGGTGGTGGTGGTCACAGCAGCTCCGCTGGCTCCAACAGCACTAGCGGCGAGAAAAAAGTCAAAAAGAGTAAGAACAAAGAAGGTAAATGTATTGGTTTATCTTCGCGCAAGTAGTGTCGTTTCAACAATTTTAGTCAACGTTGTTGTTGTTCCTATTAGAATAGCATTTTTGTAAATGGGCGTACAGCGGCGACATTGCGGCGAGTTAGTACACACATTTGTAGTATGTAGAGAGAGAAAACTCGCCGAAAAGCAAAGCCGCAGAATACTACAAATGAATTCGTGTAGAGTTTGCTGATAATTTTCAAAATTGCATCAATAAAATTGTTGTAGTGTCTTTTCCAAATTTAGTTGTACGAACTTGTGTTTTTCGAATATATTTTTGTAGTTTCGAAGTTCATTTGTAGTGTTCGTGACAACAACGAATTTTTGGTTGTTGTATACGTTTGTGTGTGTCTGTGTGTGTTGCGCCCATTTGCAGTTGTTATTTTTTAATTTCTACAACATCGATCGACGTTTTTCTAACTATTACAATTTTCTAGTACAACTGATATATTTTCAACATTCTGCTAATCTGTGATAACTCTTATTTTTGCATGCGTTCCGTTACGTTTCGTTTTTTGACGAACAAAAAAAAATTATGTAAAACTGCTTTCAAACCGCCGCATACTTTGTAAGATAATATTTCTAAATGTTTTTTCAATTACTATTATTTTTAGTGTAGTGTTCGTGGCACAGACGAATTTGTGAGGGAGTGAAAAATAAATGCAGTCGAGTTGTAGAACATTTCGAAATGTTATAAGAAGAGCAATTCTTCATAGCTTTTATAGCGTAAATTAACTAAAAATACGTAGAATAGATAGAATTAGGGGTGCTACGGATTTTTTGACTATCCGAAGAATACGAATCTTCGAATATCCGGTCACCTGAATGTGTAAAGCTTTATATGTGATTAAAAAATTCGAGTATCCAAATATATGGTTAGCAAAATAAACGGATATTAACCGGATATCCGGTTAACAAATGAGCGGATATGGACATTTCCAATGTCGTTCGCACGCTTTTGAAGTTCGAAAAAGAAGGAAAACCTAAATTTTTATTAATTTCCTTTTATGTTTCGATAGCATTTTGTTAGGTATATCTTTTGTGCAAAAGGGGTGATCTTTCGATTTTTATTTTTCAATATGTTAGCAATAAACATGCGGTCGTGAACGAACGAATAATGGAAGTCGCTTTTGGCTGCAAGTTGAAAAATGCAAGAAACTGCGATATGGAACAGAATATTATAAATTTTAAAATCTAACCTAAATCCTAACTAATTTCGCGTTGAAATATCTCTAGTAGTTTTCTATTTATAAANGAATCTAAAGCGATTAATTTTATATTAAAGTGGAATAAAGTATCTTCCTCCTAACTAATTTCGCGTTGAAATATCTCTAGTAGTTTTCTATTTATAAACTTAAGTACCGGTCGCGAATGTACGGGTCGCGAACGTACTATTTTTCCACAATTTTGTATACCTTTCATAAGCATGAAATGATAATATAAATTTAGTCCGATGTTTGCAAGTACCAGAAGGAGAAGATATAGACCAACATAAATGTTTGCCAAAATGATTACAACGAACTTTTTTTACCCAGTGGAGCGGATTTTTTGTTTAACCCACTTCAAAAAAAGTAGGAGGTTATCAGTTCGTCGGAATATTTTTTTTTTATAACCGTGGCCGTGAACCGATTTCGATAATTAAAATTACTGGTCCCTATTTTAGTTCTTTTCTTTTTTTTTAATTTAATTTTCTTTATTACTTTTTTAGTTTAATTTTTAGATGTTATTGTTTTCAACGATAATAGAATTGGTTTTTTTAATTTAATTTAATTTTTAGGGAAGCGTTTTTTTAAGTTTTTCCTCTTTTCTTNTAATTTTGTATACCTTTCATAAGCATGAAATGATAATATAAATTTAGTCCGATGTTTCCAAGTACCAGAAGGAGAAGATATAGACCACCATAAATGTTTGCCAAAATGATTACTTTTTTTACCCAGTGGAGCGGATTTTTTGTTTAACCCACTTCAAAAAAAGTAGGAGGTTATCAGTAATTTATTTTTATTCGATAATTAAAATTACTGGTCCCTATTTTAATTCTTTTCTTTTTTTTTAATATAATTTTCTTTATTACTTTTTTAATTTAATTTTTAGATGTTATTGTTTTCAACGATAATAGAATTGGGTTTTTTAATTTAATTTTTAGGGAAGCGTTTTTTTAAGTTTTTCCTCTTTTCTTAATATACATAATTTTCTTCCAATTTTTAGAGTTGCATTTTTTGTGTTTTCATTCAATTTTTGGAATTTTTCCTCTTTTTTTTTAAATAAATATCTTTTTATTTTTAGATTTTATTGTTCTAAACAGAAAAATACTTGTTTTAGTTTTATTGAATTTTTTTGTACTTTAGTACCTTATTTTTTGTCTAATTTAATTTCTTTTAGATTTTGTTTTGAAAANTAAATAAATATCTTTTTATTTTTAGATTTTATTGTTCTAAACAGAAAAATACTTGTTTTAGTTTTATTGAATTTTTTTGTACTTTTGTACCTTATTTTTTGTCTAATTTAATTTCTTTTAGATTTTGTTTTGAAAATATTTTTTTTTTTATTTTATTTATGTAGTTTTTTAATTTTTTTCTTTTTTAATTTAATCTTCAACTTTTATTGTTTGAAAAAGAAAATAATATGTGTTATTATTTATTTTAATTTTCAATATTTTTTGTATATATTTGCTTTTTTAATTCGGTCTTTTCTGTATTTTTTATTTTTTTATTGTTTTGAAATGGAAAAAATGTATAATTTTTAAATTTTATCTAATTTTGAAAAAACTTATTGTTCAAATATAAAAAGAATAATGTTAAGACCTCCTCGTTAGCCGTCCTTTCAATTAGTCTTTCGAAAGACAGTACAGAGCTTTCAAGATAGTTGAAATGTAACTTTTTCAATACATATGTAACTACGTATGTCTGTCAAATTCACAGTCTTTATTTAACTATTTAAAAATACGATCTTTGAAAACGAAATAAACTAAACTCAGATGATTCTACCTGNAACATATGTAACTACGTATGTCTGTCAAATTCACAGTCTTTTGTTTAACTATTTAAAAATACGATCTTTGAAAACGAAATAAACTAAACTCAGATGATTCTACCTGTGTGTCAGATGAAAATAGAAACATTTCTATTTCGCATGTACGTGCATCTGCTTTGTACAGAAACAAATCTAATTTGCCTCTGCACGATATGTTGGCATTTCCATAAGTAATAAGTGGCATGTACACATGCAAATACATATTGTGTAAGAGCACCTTTATGTAGATATTGGCGACAGTCCAGCTCACTTTTCGAGTTAATCATGACTGAGCTCATAGCTCTAATTGCAGCTTGGCTGTCGCTGGAATATTATGTATAGCATCCATATGAAACCTCAGCCTGAAGAACACTACAGTAGTGTGGTAAACGAAATAATATATTTTTCCCGCTTTGCCATTGAGCTTCGAAACATTTGCGATATGTAATTTCATTACTATCAGTATAGTAGCTTTCAACCTTCTAATCCCTGGTTGGGATCTCCATAGAGAAATTTCTAGCCGGAACCAACGTTTCAAATAGAATAAATTATATTATGTACAAATCCGTGCTTCTCGGAAAAAAATCANTCATATGAAACCTCAGCCTGAAGAACACTACAGTAGTCTGGTAAACGAAATAATATATTTTTTCCCGCTTTGCCATTGAGCTTCGAAACATTTGCGATATGTAATTTCATTACTATCAGTATAGTAGCTTTCAACCTTCTAATCCCTGGTTGGGATCTCCATAGAGAAATTTCTAGCCGGAACCAACGTTTCAAATAGAATAAATTATATTATGTACAAATCCGTGCTTCTCGGAAAAAAATCAGATTTACTCAAAATAAAAAAAGCGTCCCAGATATCTCGACTCCCATTGAGAAGTCTCTCTTAAACGAGTCGCAGGAAATCCATAGAGACATTTGTAGCGTAATTTGGTGTTGTGTGGTTTTGCTGCACTGATGCAGATCATATTAAGCCGTTGTACTTTGCTAAGTAGTTTAAGACCGATCACTTTATCTAGGGCAATAGCGACATATAGGAGAATAAGCTGAGTACCAGTTTTTCCTAAGGCTATTTTCCACAATGTACAGAACTATAGATGCCTTTTCATAACGCTGAGCTATGTTCTTCTGACAGCTCAGATTTTTATCCAGAGTAACGCTTAAAAATGTAAATATGTTTGTCAGACTTAGGCGGAAAACGTTCAGCTCCTAAAGATTTACCGGTGTCGTTTTATTCCACAGTATACCGACCATCTTGACACGTCACAAAGTGCTTTCTGTCGAACAGTGTCTTTGGGAACTTGCCGCTGTACGCGTTGGCGATATTATGAACATGGGCTCGCCATC